AAAACTTTTGAATTAATGATTGAATAGAAAAGAAATGTTTGAATGATTGAAAGAAAGACAAATTGAGAGAAATGATGGATCCATGGATTGATCCATGGATTGAGAGTTTATATGATATTATAATTAGATGTTTGGCTAAAGAATGCCAAGACTTTCCTGACTTTCCTCCCATTCCTGTGTTAGGCCTCTATTTCCTCGATTTGAATATTCACTTAATGTTTGCAAAAAGTTTTGCTAATAATTGTATTCAATATAAAACTCTTCTCTTGTCTTAAGTGATTGTATGTCTGAATGCCTGCAGAGGTTATAGTGAGTGGAGAACTGGATGTCAAGAGACAAGTGATGGCAAAGCAAACCAAGGAATCATTAGAAGTGATAATTGAATTCCAATGGAAAGACATATCAATTGAAAGGCTGTGCGCACTCTCTTCAGGCTCTCTCTCTCTCTCTTCTCTCTCTCTCTCTCTCTCCTCTCTCTCTCTCTCTCTCGTGGACTGACTGCCAGTATAACTACAAGACTGTAAGACTGGAGGACTGATAGCCTTTGGGCATAATTTGTGAAAACAGATCTAAATAATAGCTTACGTATGAGTGGCTGTGCTTTGAGCGCCTGTATGTATGTATGAGTGGTACGAGTGCTAAGAAAATGGCAATCATTTCAATGCATTAATGGTCTCAAAGAAGTCTTTTATTTGAGGACCACTTCCACTGATATGTGTTTGCATTAAAGCCTGTGTTTTGGCATTCAGTCGATGTGTTTGTCTACTCTTTGTTGGTATCGATTGTCTGCTTCTTGAGAGGTGTGTCCAGAGATGTGTGGATAGGGTTGTGGTGTTTGTGGTGTTGTGTCCACTGATAGTGGGACAGGACTTTTCTCGGACTGGAAGCGCTCCACTGAAGACAGTGACTGCAATGGCCACTGATGCTCATGATATCATAAAACAGGGATATATTCGCGTCAAAAGCAAATCCATTAATGTTTGGCACAAGAGATGGCTTGTGTTGAGGAGGGCCTCCAGTAAAGGACCCATTCGTCTGGACAAGTATTTCGATGAGAAAAGTGCCCGAACTGGTGGTCATCACAAGACATATCTGCTCACAAGCGTGTCCTCCATCTCAAGACTGGCCAATACGTCGAGGAAGTATGCCTTTAGTATCCAATTTCACGACCAAAACCACAAGTCTTTCGCTTGTGATTCAGGTATTCATACATCCATTGAATTCAATGAACAGATTTTGATGACATTATTATCTTATATGATGACAGACTTGGAGGCCGACACGTGGGTTAAGCTGTCGATCCAAGAGTGTCTTCTATTACCCCCAGGGCTGGCCACCGGAGAGCCAGACGTGTTGAGGCCCGGCATCCAAAAGGAACTTCAGGAACAATTTCACGTCTATTTGATGCCCACCTCTAAGTTGGATGTGTTTGGCGAGTGTTTACTGCAAGTGACTCACGAGAACATCTACTTGTGGGACATAACCAACTCTAAGCTCAAGCTCGTGGCCTGGCCTCTGACCGCACTCCGCAGATATGGTCTGTATATGACATACCCTTCTGTATGTATGGCCACTAACGTGTTCACGAGAACATCTACTTGTGGGACATAACCAACTCTAAGCTCAAGCTCGTGGCCTGGCCTCTGACCGCACTCCGCAGATATGGTCTGTATATGACATACCCTTCTGTATGTATGGCCACTAACGTGGTGTCTATTGTACTGTAGGGTCAGACCTAACGAAGTTCACGTTCGAGGCGGGCAGACACTGTGCCACCGGTGAGGGTATGTTTGTGTTCCACACTCTGGAGGGCGAGAAGATCTACCGGAAGGTACATCAGGCGACGCTCGCCATCGCTGAGGCTCACCATAAGATGAAGAAACTACCGACCAGTGCGTCCACAGAACTGCCGCCAATGGAGACTCGGCTCAGATTTACAGCAAATTTAGTTTAATTTATTTCATATTCGTTTTCATATCATCGAAACATTCATCTCATTCTCCACATGAAAACTCATCTCTCATTCAGTTATTCATTAAAAATATTGTTAATTATATGTTAACTATTGAACGGTTCAAAAGGCAACAAAACAGTGGATATTATTCGCATAATTGGGAGAAAACTTTTTAAAAGCCAAAAGTTGTGTCAATTTTTGGTCAACACAACGAATCCAATTGTATTTCGTTACGACTTTGTATACATCAAATGATTGATAAATAAAAATATAAACATTTTTTTATAAATTCTATAAAATTTATTTCATATTTTAAACACAATTTTTCTCA